GATCCGAACCCTCGGCGGGAGCGCCGCCGCACTCTACTGAGTGCGCCACCGGGCCGGCCCCCTACCAAAAATCTTCATGAACATGATCTCATTTAGTGATCAACCAGGTTATGAAGGAGGCAGGAGAGACAGTATTAATCTTATTTTCTAGTGCTGATAAAGAACTTAAATATATAATGAAAGATGAACATACTAATCAAGCAAATCAAAAGTCTAACTAGACTGATTGTCTAAAAATTACCTCTAGAAAACCTTGGCCTTGAGGGTGACCCCTCTCCAGTTCCTAACATGCCTATTGATTCCATGTGCAACAAGTTGTCAGTCGAAAGAGTTCCTCTTTAATCCCAAGGCACAGCCCCAAGATAGTTCCATGAACCAGAATAAACATCTCACATAGGTCACAAGGGAAGGGAAAGGTTTTAGAGATACCTTTTGGTCAAGGTCACTTGTCAGGAACTTGACTGCTACAGGTTCTGAGAGTTTCTTTTTAGTCTTTTTGGAGTTCCATTTTTGAATCAGCTCCTCTGGCTGGCAAGAGGCAAAAAGCAATCCAAAAATCTGGGCTGCTGTAAGCCACACCCAGTTGTGTGGATGTCTCAGGTGAGACTGCACATGACCTAAGGGAACCAAAATACATTCTTAGACGTCTCACAGCTTTCCAGATTCTCTGGTGGTAAATATGGCTAATTTAGACATTTATTGAGTATCTATTATGTGCATGGAATGAGGAACCAAAGATGAACAAAATAGTCCCTGCATCCTAGAAGCTCACAAGGAGCTAGGGAGAGAGTGAGGTGGAAAGACAATGGAAACCACTAGAAAACCAACTCTTAGCTTGGTAAATGACACTAAAGAGGTACAAGTAAGCCTAAAAGCAGGCCAGTTCCATATGATCTAGTTTCAGATTCAAAGGAGACAAGGTGGCATTAACCTTTACATTTTCTAAAGTGTAATGTAAATATGTATATAGATATAAGAATTCTGGTTCTTAAACCAGGTGGGTACTTTAAGCATCAATCCAATGTCTATTATCCACTGACTAATCAGAATTGAGTATGTTAAATTAAAAATTCTGGGGTCTTATTTTCCATTTAGAGAGTGATATATAATAATGTAAACGTCCCACAGAAATTAAATGGTTTAGTAAATTATGGCATTTTTACATGATAGACTACTACATAGCTATTTAAAAGGTTTTCTACTAAGTGTGTTACAGTATGGTAATATGCTTACTTGGGTGTAAACAGATAAACAGGATATAAAAGTTTATATGGAACTAAGCAACCTCTAAAAAACCTATGCTATTTAACAAAAAGAAAGACTGGATGAAAAGACAGACCATACGTCAAAACATCATGTTGTTCACTGTAAATATATACAATTTTTATTTGTCAATTACACCTTAATAAAGCTGGGCGGGGAGGATATAAATGAATGGATGGATGAATGAATAAATAGGAAAAAAATATATATACTAAATTATCATCAAGTAGGATTTTGGAAATTTTTTTCCCTTTTACTCCCCTATAATTAATATTCTTTGTTTGGTAAATAAATAAAATATTATTTATCAAAGTCATAAATATATTTATTTTTTTCAGAGAGAAACATTTTTACTATAATCAATCTGATAAGTCTTAAAATTTTCTTCTCATGGGCTTTTTTCCTGACATTATATATTTTCTGAAGTGTTCATATTCTAATTTCCCATATCTACTTTCAGTAATTCTATCACAACTAATGTGCTTGTTTTTAGATTTAAGTAAAAAGGAAATACTTACTCCAGATTTTACTCAAAGTTTCAGAGGGCTTGGTAAACTGAATAATATTACATTCCTTGATGAGTTTACTTATCAGTGTGAGAAAAGTAAACAGAAGGCGATCTGCAGCTTTTTCTTCAGTCTCTTCCATGATCTAAAAACAGGATGGATGTAAACCAATTAAGACAATAATTTGAAAGTATCTGATGTACATTTTTACTCCAAAATGTACATCTACACCATGATTTTTCAACTTTAGCACTACTGATATTTTGGGCCAGATCATCCTTTGCTGTTTGGGGGCTGCCATGTGCACTATAGGATGTTTAGCATCATCCCTGGCTTCTACGCACTATATGCCAATAGCACCCTCCACCCTCCAGTTGGGACAACCAAAATGTCCCCTGGGGAGCAAAATTGCCCCAGTGGAGAATCTTTGATCTTCATATACTACGGAAGACAATTTAGCCCTCATTTTTAAAAGAAGTTTCAACTGCATTGAATTCTTCCTCTTATTAATAAAAAACATTTTTGAACACAAATAATATTTAATCTATTAGCTATATCACCTCAAATAAAACTATAAAAGTTAGCAAAAGTTTTACTCCCTAGCAAACTACTTACATCCTTAAAGTTTTCAGGATCAATTTCTTTTTCAATAACAGGAAGAACAGTTCCAAGTCTTCTCTCAAAATCAACTCTTTCACTTTCCACAAACAAGCCACAGACCAGGGCAGCGAGTTGCCTATTTAAGCTCTATCAAAAATAAACCACCACAAGACAACATCAACACAACTTGGGAGGCCATTTTCAAAACTGTGCAGTGAAGGTGGGCATTATTTTGTCCTCAACATTCAGAGACAATAAAAAACATTTCTGATGCCAGAAATCAGTAAAATATGGAGATTCAATGGTCAACATAAAAAATGTGGAGAAATCTAAAAAAGTTTAAGATTTTTTAAAAGTGGCATTTATTGTTATCCACTGAGTACTTTAATAAATACATTTTTTTCCCCATTTTAAACTAAAAAAAAAAAAAAAAAGGAATGAAAAAGAAGTCTCAATCCCACTCCCCAATTATGTGGCTATGCAACAATTTAGTCATTAAGATAGGACATATGTTGTTTATATTCCACAAAGATGGGCCACTGATGATTGTGGCACAGTCACCAAGTGGATAGAGTAACAAAAATTACATTCCAGAAATTGAATAAGCAAAATTGGACACAAAGGTATTCATCAACAGGGGCTGATTAAGTAAATTAGGATACAGTCTCGCAGCAGAGTACTTCACTAACATTAATAATGTAGTAGAAATACAGGTTATTTTATGTTACTTTCTATATTATACTTTCTGAAACTTTAAGAATATATTATTTGCATAATTAGATATAAATAAAGTTATTTGGGAAAAACGAATTCAACAGTGTATAATATGTATTCTTTTTTTTTTGGCAGCTGGCTAGTAAGGGGATCTGAACCCTTGACCTTGGTGTTTTACCAACATCGAGCTCTAACCAACTGAGCTAACCAAATAGCCCTCTGTATTCTTATTTAATGTACAAACACCAAAAGCTAAGACTTGTCATGAATTGTGACTAAAAGCAACACTAACCTTTTTTGCTCCAAACCAGGTGGTAACCATGTCAAACAGCCAATCTTTTTTCTCAAGATTGATTTTACTAAGTAAGGATTTGATTGTCATGGATGCCATCTTTTTGCACTTGGCAGAGTCATCATTCACCATCATGAGACAAAGAGGAATAAAGAACATTCCGCAGTTCTCATGGAGCAGTCCCTGAATGAAACAAGGCATTTATAAGTACACATAGAATGGAATTCCTACAGATGCTCTAATAAGGGAGGACCGAGGGCTTTCAGGGCTCATGGGGAAATGCAGCTGAAGAGTCTGTCTGTGTGTTTCACAGTACCTGAGGGAATGTGTCAAAGAGATAGGCGATCATTTCCAAGGTGGACTCTCTCCCGGTCTCGTGTTCATAACTAGGGCAAGAACATTTAGGTGGACTTGTTAGTATCTTCTAAATTTACTAAAAATTATTTTAAAAATTTAAAATACTATATCAAAGTATCAGTCTATTTCCTAAAACGGAAAACTCTCAATCTCCCCAATTTTAATGCTGGTATATATCCATCAAGCTACTGCACAGTTTTAAATATAATTTTGTTAGACTTTCAACATGCCTTAATTGAATTCTAATGAAAATCAATTGTCAGACTAGATTGAAAAGCAATTCAAGGAACTGCCATATGAAACCAAGCACAATGCTTGATAATCAAGTGAACGAGTCATATAATAGCACCCTCAGAGAACATGCCATTATGTATATATAGACTTTGTCCATTTCAAGACAGCCGCTGTATTAAAGGAAAAGAAACTACCCTTCTGCCCCTATATAGTTAATGGCTTGAGCTTACTTCAGTTGAGCAAGTATGAATTCCAAGTTTGGTCTCAACTTGTCACCCAGGGGATAGTCAAGAATATATTTCAGAAAAACCTAGGAACAAAAGTTACACAGTTGATTATTATGATCCTGTCTCTCTAGGATTCCTCTTTCCTAAGATGCTTTCTGGGACACACTGGTAGGTTATAAAACCCTTTCAGAATGGTAATCAATCTGGCTTTCTAATCGACTCTGGTAAGTCTGCCTGCTAAGTCAACAGTAACTGTGCCCTTCCTTTCTCCACTTCACTTATCCAGGTCTTGCCCTGCATGCCTGACTGAGGCAAGTCCTGGCCCACTACTGGCATGTTTGTTTAAGGCTCCAAATCTAAGCTGGCATGCTGTAAGCTGAGCTCCCTTTGATAAGTGGTGTGGTGTGGTAGACTGAATATGAACTATGGTTCAGCCCAGTATCTTCCCCTTGAATAAGAATAACAATATGGTAATAATAATGATAATAATAACTAATGCATTTACTAAGTAAATACCTTCTATGTGCCAAGCACTGTGTTAAGTGTTCACGGTTAATTCTCACCACTCCTTTAGGAAGTAGGTGATATTATCCTATTTTATAGTTGAAGAGAATGAAGCTTGCACAAAGTAAAGTGCTCATGTAACAATGCCAGAATTCTGTGCTTAGTCTGTATCTGAAGGCTGTGCTTTCAAAACCAATATAGTATTCAGCCTCCTTCCTTAATAAACTATGAGAACTAAGGTACATCATTAAACTCTCCAAGGCCTGCTTTTTCCCTAGCTGTAAAATGATTATACATACTTTGGGGGTTCAGTGTTGACATATGTTGATCAAATCAATATTACTACTATGTATATTGTTACAAATTGTACTTATTCTTTATGCCCCCTGTCCAATCTCTCCCTATCCCCTTCTCCCTCCCCCCTCCCACCACTGATGGGATGGGATGCTCTTTCTCTTTCTCTGAAAGAGCAATGGTTACTCTGTTGATCTGTTACCAAGATGATCTGTGCAATGCTGAAAGGTATGTTCAGGTCTCCCAATACTATCATAGAGCATATGCTTCTTCTGTCACTCTGGAATGGGCTTTGTGGAGAGAGACATCCTATTCTTTTCTTTGGTCTCTACTGTTGACTCTCCTTGTGTCAATACACTCCAGTGGCTGGTGGACCATCTGCATGGTGGTTGTGACATCTAGCCACTTTCGTGGCAGCTGTGGTTACTGTGGTGGCTGTGGTGAGCTACCCACATGGAGGTGATCAAAACCCTAAATCTTTTAACAAGACCAGAAGGCCCTGCCTGACTCACCTGCATTTAGCTCCTCAAACAAGCTAAGCTTTTCCCCAACTTGGGCTTCCCGTCCTCAGCACGTGCTGCCCCTTCACCTGGAAGTCTAAGCCTTATTCTTCCTTCACATTTTGGCTTACCTGTCAATCCTCAGGAAAGCTTTCTCTGACTTCCTGCACAAAGGGCCCAAGTCGCAGAACAAAGCAACAATATGACACAAAGCAGTGTTGAGAATTCAGCCAATGTTAACATCTCTCTATCTAAAAGCCAAACAGATGAGGCAGGGCCTAACCCTTGCTATAGGAAGAAGCTCTCTCTACAAACCTGTCTGCATTGGACTCTGGCAGGTTCGCTTTGTGCAGAAATTGCCAACTTGGATACTTTCCTCATGACATCATCAATTTCTGGGACCAACAACTTTCTTGATAAAATAGCCTAAAATACAAAAGGATAAGACATACTCATTTCATGTGTTTTTTTGCAGATAGACATAAGTAGCCTTGATGTTAAAGCAGTTGCAGGCAGTATGTTCAAAAGAAAAAGAACATATACTTCCAAATGGTTAAAACGGTGAATTTTTTGTTATACACATTTTTCCACAGTAAGATAAAAAAACAATGTTCAGTATAATAAATAAAAGTAGAGTGCCTGTATTGACACAGGATTTCCTGGAAGTGTTAATACAGAGCTCACATTCAAACATTTTCTTAAGTAGATATGTCAGTTTATAACTGATCCACCAAAATCATAATAATCTTTAGGAATTAATTTCTGAAGTCTTCAGCTAGTCAAAACACTATGCTCCACATCATTCTAAATATATGACAGGAGGCTCATAAACCGTTAAAGCCAACATTCTGGCGACACCATACCTTCAGAAGACCAAATGCAGTGGCTTGTCTTGTAGTATCATAAATGTCCTCTTCAGCATATGCCAGGAGAACTTGAAGCTGTTTTTCAGTTATCTGGTAAGACTTGACTTTCTTTACAAGTATGGTCACACACTGCAAGTTATAATTGTCAAGTTAATAGCCAGTACATTCCACAGATCAGGATCCACTGAAATGATAAGGACTCTATATAACATCAAAGGTTGCACAGGATACCAACCCTCTAGCCTTAGCAAATTATTCTGGAAAAAAATTTTGACCAAGACCACAAAGGGCAATGGAGAAAACTAGCTTTGATGTTAATCCTGGTCCTGGCTTTTTCTAAGTGCAAGTGAAGACACCTCACCTTGAAGCAATTGACTGCCAGGTGGAAGTTCTGGCCCCTGGCAGCCCCAAGTTTGGCATAGTCTTTCAGCAAAAGAAAAAGGTGTTTCGTCAGCTGTTCCGCTTTTGTTTCTATGGAAGGCAGAGGGAATCTTAAGACCCAGATCAGGCATTGTAAAGAACCTGTGATAACCTGAAAAAAACAAAAAACAATCAACTTATGAAATGACCAAATCCAACATTCCAGCATCTGAGGCTCTGTAGGCTCTGTAAGTGATTGAGTTGAATAAATAAGATGCTGTGCCCAGCCCACTCTGGAAGAACTGTGCCCAAAGTATGAAGAAATTTCCTATTCCCTGTTGTAGAAGAAATTATAGCTTATTCAGATCACAAAGAAATAAGAAAAGGTGCCCACTTACCACATTCTTAACCTATATGGGTAAATGATTAAATGTGTTGGCCAGTTTTAGGAATTTAAAAAAAAATACATTTTAAGTGACTTTTCTATCTTCTAGAATGGTACTTCAATGTAATCCATTCTTAATGAGCTTATATTATGCATACAAGGCACTCTACTGGGTATTATAAATACAAAGATAAAAAGGATGCCATCTCTACATTTAGGAAGCAGATAGCTGGCTCAAATTAAGCATGAGAACAAGTAACTATTACGAAATACAGTTAAGTGCTATGCACAGGATATTGAAAAAGTATGCTGGGACCAAGCGATTACACAGATAATCCCTAGACATCTGAGAGGTAATCTTAGATCTTAGCGATCACATGATGAGCTAGTTCAGCTCTATCTAATAGAACCCGACTGCCCTGGCTGTGTGATGTCCTCATTGGGCTGGTTAGAGGAAGACATAGAAGAAAGAGCTTGGGAATCGGAAAGACCAGAGCTTACATCCCAGCTCTGCAAATGATTACCTGTTTGACTCTAGGGATGCTACTAACCTCTCAGCACCTTTATCTGTACAGCAGGTGATAGGAGGAAGTGAGAGATGTGGAAGTTTTGGCATCTGAGAGACCTAGGTTCATTATCTTAGATTTGTGATGAGGGCCTAGTCCTAGTTTTCTCATTCATAAAATAGAAACATCACGGAAATATACCTCGGGGGTTGTTGTGAAGATTATAGATAACGTGTTTAGGATTCACAGCACGGGTAGCAGCACAGGGAGCAGTAGTGACGATGATAGTGATGATGATGATTCTGGCAGGGGGACAGTACCCTCATGAGGTTGTTGTGAGGATCAAATGAAATAATTAGTACATCCAGACAAGAAGGGCTTTTAAAACTAAGGCCTAAACCATAGAATCATGAAATAGGGAAGCAATTTAATGCAGAGAATAATGGTGGTTCATGAGGTCATAATCTGTTTAACACAGATTGTGAACTGAGACTCACCTTCACATCCACGGAACCCAGGCAGTCTATGAGGAGAGACACAAAAGGGTCCAACATTTCTAGGACATGTTCACTTGAAGACTTGATCTTGGAAGTCTTCAGACTTAGATGAAGCAGCTAAAAGATTTAAAAAAGATATTTCACAGTGGTTTCCTGTAAGACCAGATGAGTTAGGTAAATGTGAAACAATTTTAAGACACAAACGAGGAATGTTAAGATGCTTCCATCTGAAATGACAATAATTTTTAAGAAATCTGCCTGGGAGAGTCTCGGTAAGTCAAGGAGGTGAAAGCTCACTGTACCGCTGAGATGCCAAGTCCATTTACCAAATGGTTACCCAGAGCCTACTGATTCCAGGCACTGGCTTGGGACACAGGACACAGCAACGACCAAGATGAGCATGGTCCCTGTCCTGATGAATCTTAGCCAGGAAGACAGACTCTAAGGAAATAAAGTGTAAATGCATGGTGCTTTGAGAGTTCTCCAGGGATCTGGGCAGAGGGAAGAGAGGGTGGTGAGGTTCAGGGGCAGGAAGAATGTGTTCTTTATTCATTTATTTTTTTAAAAAATTTTTGGTAGCTGGCCGGTATGGAGATCCGTACTGACCTAACTGGCCAGTCTGCTTTATAGAACTGAAGGGAAGCCAGTGTGGCTGGAATGTGTGCTGCAGTACAATATGAGGCTAGGACCTTGTAGCCCAAACGGAGGACTGGACTCTCTCCTACGAAAAAAGGGAGATTTATGGTTTTAAAAGCGACCATCTTTTTAAAAAATTCAAAGTAGTTTAGAGGTGCTCATGGGCAAAGCAACAGTGAAGCACCAATAAATATTAGGTCAGAATCATTAATCCTGGGAAAGCTGTATCATCAAAGTAAGTATTGGATGAGAAATAGGAAGTGTGCCAATGCATCTTTAAAAAAAAAATTCTGTAATTTTCTTATGGTAATGCATTTCTAGTGGAAATGAGCAGTACTGGACATTCAACAGAGGATTAAAAGGTACAGATTTCTTGAAAGCATCGTTTCATTTTATGGTTAATTCTTACCCGAAGCCCAGACTCAATAAATATGTGCATGTTGGTTTTCCTGCTGACAGCAGCTTTCTGTCCGCCTCGAACTGGAGTTGGGGGGAGTAGAAGGCAGCTCTGGGGTGGCAGACGCGGATCTGGCGCAGGGGCTGCTGGATTTCTGTCAATCACAATGGAATGAAAAGTAGGGCAAAGAATTCTGTCAGCTGCATTCCAACAAACTGAATCTAGCAGTAAATAATGTACTGTTTGCTCTGGCTTTTCCTCCTTGACCACAAGACACAGAAGAGATTATTAGGTTGTTGATCAAGGTTACTTGATAATCCCCAGAAACAGAGGTCAGATTGATAAACACACATTTAAATTAAGATGAACACCCAGGACACTCCCTTCATTTGATTTCTGAAAACAAATGCCAAGGAGTATCTTAGAATACAGAAGCAAATTCCAAAGGAAGCTTACTAATATATAAGACATTTAACAAATCTTTTAAGGTCTGAATCTCTGCTTAATTAGAACAAGAGGTATATATTTAAAATCTATCCTAACTTTGATTCAATAAATATTTAAAACAAAATGGTATCAGAAAAATGCCACAGTTACCCCATTCATAAGAAAAACAATCTCACGTTGAAATCTACCATACCATAAAGTAGTATCATCTAACAACTCAGATAGTTTTTTTTACTAAAGCAAATTATTAAATTAACCCTCTTAAGAGTAAGAACTGAATGTCTTGTCAGAAACAATCACTTAAAGAACAGTTTAGTTTAGTTTAGTTGTTTCAAACTTACTTTTCTTTCTCTGTTAAAAGGGGAAGATTTTCACTGACCAAACCATAACTGAGCAATAGAATGGATTCTGCTGTCATTTTCTGATTTACAATTAATCCTGCTATGATTCGGCGTAAAGTTTCATGAACTTTCCGGGCCAGTTTTAAACTCGTGGTATTTTGTAAGATCTAAAGGCAAACATACCCCATAAATATGTACGGTTATTATGTGTCAATTAAAAATAAAAAATAATTTTTAAAAAAAAGGCAAATATAAATATCTTGCAGAGATAACACAGAACTCCATTTTGACTTACTGTAATGGTAGTTTTATATGTTTGCTTTCTAATACATGCTTTTTGTTCTAATTTAAAAAAAAGGCAAATATAAATATCTTGCAGAGATAACACAGAACTCCAATTTGACTTACTGTAATGGTAGTTTTATATGTTTGCTTTCTAATACATGCTTTTTGTTCTAATTAAAATAATAAAATTTCAAACATAGATATAACATATAAAGTAAAAGTTACCCATAACCTCGACCCCAGAGAGAACCACTGTGAGCATTCTGTGCGCCTCTGTATTTCCTCCACTCCCTCCCTGCTCCCTGCTGGTAAGGCCTCAAGGCACACTGCTGGAGATATGATGTGAGACTTCTAAGAATTCAACTGTGTAAGTGCATCACAGGGGGTGATTTATAGGCAAGCACACACACACAGAATCAATAAAACGTATGGTCACTATTCATAGGAAACCAGGCGAATGAAGTGCTGCGATGGTCAAGCCTCAGGGTTTGATATTAGTTATTGGGCCAAATCAGAAGAACTTAATGGGAACCCAGGATCATCAACCTCAGCAAAATACTCAGCACTTCATAGTTTTATCTTGCATAAGATGCAGTATTAATAATTATTTTTAATAATTATATTAAAAAATATATTGACTTTATTTATAAAAACATTTTTATTAATAATATATTTATTTTTATTTATTTCAATATTATTTATAGGATAAATAATATATTTATTTTTAATAATATTATATTTAAATAATAATTGTTATTATTTTTATTACCTTGGAGGGACAATATAATACACATCAAAGATATATATGTTCTGTTGACTCTTTTTCACCCTCAAAACATATCTAACATTCTTAAATCATGCTCAAATGAAACTAAATGCATTCTAGGAACAATTATGGAGTTCACCTGGCACCAAAACATTTGGAACTACAGTAATTCACATCATTAGATAGTGATTTTTTGCTCTAGTTTTAGTACATAAAACTGTTATAAAATAACATTTATTGAATGTTCACCCTTGCACTAGGTACAGAAAAACAATAGGAATGTGGGTAAATTACAGTCCCTTTTCTCTAGAAAGCAGAATGAACAGTGGAAAGCATGTGAGCATTAGATCAGAAAGATCTGGAACTAAATTCTGACTTTCCTCCTTAACCATGCTCCTTTCTACCTCCCAAGCCTTAATTTTCTTATCTGTAAAATGGAAGTACCATCAACCTCATAGGGTGGTTGTGCAGATTAAAAGAGAACGTAGCAGTGCTTAGAACATAACAGATGTTCAATAAATACCAGTTGCCAATCTGGGAGTAGCAATCTGACTCTAAAGGCTATGTTCTTAGCTGCTGGCTTGATCCAGCTGTAAAATTCACCTGCACTCCAATTCTTGTTGCCTGTCCTTTCACCTCTCATGGTTTATACCAGGGACTTTGAATCTTGGATCAGAGTACCCAACTCAGGGCTGTCACTTAGTGGCCATATGGCATTGGTGCACATAGTACCAAAGGAAATCATGGGGCATCAAATACAGTATTATGGCTTGCCCTGCAAGGCTCCTTTCAGGAACTTATTGCAATGCTGGGATCTCCTGTATTGCATTCAAGTCCTTACCTCTTTTAACGGAAGGATAAGTTTTGTAACCTGATCTTTTCCTACAAACTTGCCCAGGATTTCATAAGAATCATAACTCTTGCTTCTTCGCGCCTCCATGACTTTGGAGAGAATCTGCTTTACTTCCTTCTCTTCAGCAACAGCACCAAACAGCTCATGGTTAAAAATCTTTGAAAGGAAAAGGACAAATGGCAATTATGTGCACTCAGCAAGATATGGTGACATAAGCAATCTTTGGAAAAAAGCACTGGTACATCCAAATCAAAGGAAAGCCAAGGTGGACTGGATTGCAATTAGATGGTGGGAATTTCTATTAGATTTCACTTGTTTTCAATACTGGTTAAGGACCAATTACTAAAACACAAATACATACAGAAACATCTGAAAGTTCATATTAATGGGAAACGAGAAAAATACTTCACTGATGTAGATATATAATTGTATAACTATACAAACAGGAACTTCTTTTTTAATATTACCAAAGAGCAGCTTAGTTTCCCTTCAAGACATTCTCATGATATTTGCAACTTATCAAAATTAACATAAATATTTAAATTGAGATTCAAAATGTTAGTGCCTACATTTTAAATAGATGAACAAAAGGTTATATGGCAGATTTATTCTTGTCCTAATCCTAGCCACCAAATTATTACATTATCCAATTTCAAAAGTTGACTGTTAATTTTCACTACTATAAAAAAACTCCGGCGAACATACCTTAATATGAATATAAACTGCAGACCATATCCCTGATTATTCCTTTAAAACAGATTCTTAGAAGTGGTTGAAACATTTTGCTCATTTCTAAAGGTCTTGATACACAATGCCAACTTTCTTTCCAGAAAGACTATAGCAATTTGTGATCTATTAGCAATGACAGAATACCCACCTCACTTGAGTCTTAGCTTTTTAAACCTCTGTTAACCTAAAAGATGACATAAGACATTATTTTCATTTGTATAGGCTACTATTTCTTATTTTGTGAAATGATTGGAGTCTTTTGCCTACTTTAAAAAAAAAGTGAGATTCCTTTCTATAAATCTTACCTCAATCATTATATCTAAACAAGAATCCAAATCCCCAACTTGGAGCTTGTTGGTGAGGCCTTGCAGCAACATGCAAACAGTGAAAGTTAACACATGGACCTAAAATATAGTAAGAATATGAGTCGTTAAGAATATCACACTGGAAAAATGTAAGATCTAAGAAGTACTGCAAAGAGAGCACTCAGTTTATACTTCTATTATTGCTGGGAGAAGCTTTGAGAAATGACATATACTTATATCACTATGCAAAATCCTTTAACTGAATGATCGTTTTGTACAAAAGATGTTCATATGCACATCACCATACTTAGGATCTATTTATTGTGACAAAACCAGGCCAGTGATTTATGAAGAAAGGCACAAGATTCCTGAACTTTCAAAACCAACCTGTGAATTAAGGAGCTTGTCAATGTTGAATGCAATCAAAGTTGATACATAAAGTGTTATGAAGGAAACACATTAAGTTTCTGCCCCAAAAGTAACCAAGCTAATGTTCAGAGAGCTTATTATGAGGTAGGCAGTATGTGAATATCTCACACACATGGGGGTACTTCAGAAAGTTTGAGGAAAACAGAATTAAAATATAATATGAATCTCTCCATGAACCTTTTGAAGTGCCCTCATATTAAGCCATTTATGCCTCATCCATCCTATCTATGGTGCAGGTGCTATGTTTCAGGGTTTTTCACGTGAGGAAGAGGAGGCACAGAGAGGTCAAGTAACTTGTCCAAGGTTACATGGGTAGGAAGTGGTGGAGTCAGGATTTGGAACCAGATGGGCTGGTACCAGTGCTCCAACTCTGCATCACTAAGCTATGCTGACTCTCAAGCTATTTGCATTCTTTATGTTGCTTCCAGTGCTGTAAAATTGTCAAGGTCAATATCAGAAAATGGTTACAGGCCAAGGAAACACACTTAGTTGCCAATGCGCAGATTGAATCTTAAAAGCTTAGTTTCTTACGTACCTACCTGTGATCTTTAAGTACTTTTACATATTTAAAATGTCTGCTGTGCACTTTATATAATTTTTAAAAGTTTTTTTGGGGGGGAGGGGATGAAGACTGACACTTGACGAACACAATTTTGGTAGTCTGTGATTAATACTAAAACCCAAATTAGTTGCTCTCTTAACCCCTATTTTAGTTATTTTAATAAATGATGGAATAGACTGGAAGAACAGGTTGTTAGAGAGACTAGGGCTACTCATTTAAATAAATAATATCTCAGGTGCTCCTTAAAAATGTGTGAATGAATCCTGAAGGACAGAGATGTATCATATTCACCCTTGTATGCCCTGTGCCCAGCACAGCACCTCACACAAAGCAGCCATGAAATAAATGCTAGTTGAAAGACCAGCATAAGAATAAATTGCTGTCAGTGGCTCTGGTTCCAGAAAAGATGGAGAAAACACATTCTATCTACACCGTCTCTCCACTGAATGCAGCTACAAGACCAGGACAGGATCCACGGAGCAGCTATTGGAGAAGAACACCAAAATCCAAGTACACCAAACTTGCAGTGAGTTTACCCCGTTTTCTGTCCAGTATCTCCCAGCCAACGTGGAAGTGGGCACAAGGATGTAGAGACAACTCTAGGAGAAGCCCCTATTCTGGCTTGAAGAGCAGGAGAGGGATCTCATAATGCTCCAAGAGTGAGGAAATCTACTGTGTTTTTTTATTTTTTCCTGTTTCATTTCTCCATTCTCCTGCACCCTAGCCCCACACAACGCTGTGGTGGTGATGGCAGTGGCCTGGAAATGGGGACTGGCAGGAGCCACAATGCTGTAAGGGGAACCTTCCTCTCCATTCATTGGAACTGCAGTTCTGAGAGGGGGGGGCCAACTCTAGTTGCTTTTATAATTCCACTTGAAGTGGTGAAATATTGATTCTCAGTAGATTAAGTATGTATATGGTAAACCCTAGAGCGACCACTAAAAAATCCTACAAAGAGAAGGAATCAAAATGAATACTGATATTTTTAGTGTGTGAGACTTATAACCTAAAGAATAGGAACCTTGCCTGTTCACACATAGGATATACCAGGTAAAGCTAACTACCAGGAGTCTTGGCTATGTACTCAAAAGAATAAGCTGCAGTTTCCCAAACTTTAAATCACCCGGGGAGCTTATTAAAATGCAGCTTCTGTAGGTCAGGTGTAGGGCCCTACATTTCTAACAAGCTCTCAGATGCTGCTGATGCTGCCTGTCCAGGGTCACACCTGCCGGGGAGCTTATTAAAATGCAGCTTCTGTAGGTCAGGTGTAGAGCCCTACATTTCTAACAAGCTCTCAGATGCTGCTGATGCTGCCTGTCCAGGGTCACACCTGCAGCAGTGAGGGGCTAGATAGCCATGTGACTACTCAGAGGATTTTGCATTCTACCTAGTGCTCTTATTATTTTTATAACTTATGTTTCAACTCTTCACAAATGTCTCTGTTCTTTATTGCTCACATCTGTGGCAATTTAGTCTATACACATTCAACAAGAATTTTATTAAGAACTCAGAGAATACAAAACTTGATATCAAGTACTTTGAGAGAAAAAGAGGAGGTCATATAACCCAGGCCTATAAGAATCTTTGAAAAAATCAGATATAGGAATTTTTTAAATAACAGATTTCTTTAATATTGATCAGAAACTTTTGAATATTGTTGGTTGCTATTTCCGTGGATCACCTTTATTAAAGATAGAATAGACCCAAAGTACCAAGACTTACAGTGTTCAAGCTGCAAATACTGAACTCCAACCCAACTTGAATATAAAGCTCATGATGCAATTTACCTGATACCCACGAACAAGGGTAGTCTGTAATTCTTTTAAAATATACTGTAGGAAGTGGACACCCAGATCTTCTTACACTCGGATTCCTTAGCTAATATCCCTGCAGAATCAGCTGGATCAGGATTTCCCAGTTCTTCATTGTCGTCTGACAAACTCTTACATGTATTTTCATTCTCTTCTTCATCCTTATGCTCTAATTCCATGGCTTCATGCCCTGGTATCTCAGTCATGTCTATTGTATCTACATTTAGCAAACAACAAAAGCCACCTTAAATCAAATAAGGAAATCATACAGTTGTGCCAAGTAGTCTTTTACACTAACACTCAACATCCAATAAAAAATAAGTGATCACCAACTATGGGCAGGCAAGGTAGTGCCGGTGAAATGGCAAGAAAAGAAAGGGCTATAGATTTTGCTTTCTCACAATTTAGAGTCTAAAAAGGGATAGAGACAAATAAACCGGCAATTATGCAAGTCCAGACTTGACTCAGCTAACAAACCATGTGACTAGTCAATTAACTTAACCCTACTAGATTTTGGCTTCTTCACCAGTGAAATGAGGGTGGCGCCTGTCTCGCAAGGCTATTGTGAGGACTAAATGAGATCTATGATTACCTAAAATATGTGTCTGACACTTCACTGACTTTCAAAAAATGGTAGCTATTAGTCTTTATTTCATTTACTAGCTGTGTAGCTTTGGGAAAGTTACTTTATATCTCTGAACCTCAGTGTATCATATCAAAAATATGGGGTAACTACTACTAAGGTTCTTGTAAGATTCTGATAAGGACAAATGAGATGGCTATAAAAGCCTAAGTAGAAATAGTTAAGGAAATTAAGTATTTTAATTTTAGAAATATTTATGTTTATGCACATTGCAAAATGCATATTCAACTGACTGAAGAAAATAGTGTAAACTGAGGGCCAGAAGATTTCTGTGTCTTTAGCCAAAATAATTAGGATAAATGCCTTGGCCCTTTTGAGTGTTCAATCTTTATTTTTCTGTGCTGGCTAGAATCTCTAGTTCAATGATCAGTGTAAGTAGTAGTAGTAAGTATACTTGCCTTATTCTGGATTTAAAGCAAAGGCTTTTAAATCTTTTACCACTGAGTATGATGTTGCATTAGGTTTTGAAAAGACATCCTTCAATAGGTTAAGGAAATTTCTACTTATTCCTTGCTTTATAATTTTTTTTTTCATGAAGAGATATTGAATTTAATCAAATGTTTTTCTTGTATTTACCTAGATGATCTTATGTATTTTGTATGCTAATATATTAAATTTTATGAACTAATTTTCCAATATTGAACCAGCCTTGTATTTCTGGAATAAACCAAACATTATCATGTTTCAATGCTTTTATTGATTTGCAATGCTCTGATTTGCAAATATTTGGTTTAAGATTTTTCTATTTATATTAATGATTGGGACTAGTAATATTTTATTCTCATAGTATCTTTGTCAGTTTTGGGTACGAAATTATACTAGTTTTATGAGTTAGTTGGGGCTTCCTCTCTTTTAATAATCTGAAATAGCTAGTATAAGGTTGAAATTATCTGTTCCTTGAATGTTTGGCAAAACTTGCCTATAAGACATTCTGTGCCTGCTGTTTTCATTAGGAGATGTGTAACTACAAATTCAATTTCATTAATTGTTAGGGATCCATTTGGATTTTCTATTTTCTTCTAAAGTCAGTTTTTGTATTATAATTTTCTAAGAATTTGTACATCTCACCCAAGTACTCAAATTTAAAAATACAAAGCTTATAACATTATTTTGCCTTTTTCACTTAATTGGGACCCCTTTAAATTCCTAATACTGTTTATTATGCCTTCTATTTTCATTGATCTATCTTGTCAGACATTTGCCAATTTATAATCTTTTCAAATACCTATTTTTAGCTTTGTTGAGCCTTCTTATTGTATCTATTTTATACTTCATTAATTGTTGCTCTAATTTTTATTACTTCTTTTCTTATAGTTTTTATGCACTCATTGCTTAATGCTTTCCACACAAGGAGATAAAATTGGATTTCTATGTAAATAATCTAAAGCTCAGATTTTTCCTTTACTAGTATAATTTAGATTGGCCTTCTTTATAGTTAAATAATGTTTTATAAGAATACTTAATCATCTGTTTTAGCTTCCTCCTGACTCATTAACTGGCCAGTGCTACAAGAACAGAAAAAGGAAATAAGTCGAATTATGCTATCTTCAACTCATGATCATAAATTATCCAAGAATAAGGTGGAAATCTGGTTTAAGAAATTTTTAAAAACTTACTTTCTTCATTCTGAATTTTTCCCATTTGTTGTTCAAGAGTTTTGTGGTCAAAGTGAAATGCTTCTAATACTATTACCAGCAAACTGTTTTAAAAGAAAAAGATCACAGAAATGTTCATTTAATTATCAATATCATTGGACTATTAAAAGAAGAAGAAATTTAAAAACGTATAAGCATAAAAATTATTTTTACCAGTATTTTTAAGTTTAACATGCATTAGCATAACCTCACAATATTAGGTAAAAATAAATTGAGTTTATAGAAAGACTAACTCAGAGAATAATTTTAAAATTACATTTTTAAAAACAAAACAAAAATAAGAAGTTTGGCCATACCTGACACCCAACTTTTGATTGATCTGTCCTGTCTGTAATACATGAATGAAATGTTTCAAGTAATATATATATGCTGACCAAGAGAGATGTTTGCAAATAGCTCCAATAACCTCTGTAGCAGCAATGGTTATATTTTCATGCTGTAAAATAAATCAAGAGCATCACTGTAGAACAAGTATTTGCTAATAAAATACAAGGCTAACACAGTATATTAAAAAGCTTAGACATCAGGTGATCAGTAATTATAGAAAGGAAAGAATGTCCAAGCTGTACTCCATTTTCCCCCCCAATCTTAAAAAAAGTTGCTATCAATTTAAAGAAATGACACCTTCCTTTAAAGGATATTAACATATTTTGGACTCTTTCCCACTCAGACCTTCCTGATGGGTTCTACCACAGACAGCGAATGAAGTAAACTCAATCTACAAAAGTTAGCAAATGTCAAAAACCACATATTGCACTGCTCAGCACTCAAAAATACACTGCCTCAGACAAATCTCTTTCAGGCCTTGATGGAGAACAGGGACTAGATTTACCTTCATACCTTAAACGAGAAAAGTAGACAAAATATATGAAACAACAGTTTCCAGAGTATAGACATCAAACAGAGCAGGACAGTGACCTCTGAGTCTTATAATTATGTCAATCTAGTGCATGGAGAGAATTGTTAGGCTGCAGCACAGGAGGGGAAACCAAGAGAGCCCAGTGGTCTTCCTGAGTGAAAGAGAGAGTTGAGGCTATGGTAGCTAGAGTCCACAGGGCAGAGTACCAGAAGAGAGCTCCACAGAAGGAAAGCTCCACAGAAAACAAGCCCCCTAATTCTGATGCTGAGAATTGATCAGTACACATGAGTAAGGAAAAGGTGGGAAAGGGAACAGGCAAAACAATCACCAAAGACCATATAAGGATGAGAATAGTTCATGCTTCTATCAGCCAAAGTGAAAACCTCACAGCACTGGGTATTCAGGTACTCAAAAAGGTAGCGTCTCAATAGTAGGGCCAAATTAATCCTAGACTAAAGGCTGCTGCTGCCTTAAAAAGTTTAAAAGCAAGCTTCACAAGGACTAGACTATTCACAAGTAACCTAACTACATCTGAGAATAATTCTCAGGAAAACTTAAAGACATATAAATATACCCAGCAACTGGTAAGGTAAAATTCATAACGTCTGGCATCTACTAAAAAATTACCAGCCATTCTAAGAAGCAGAAAAATATATCTAATGAGAAAAACCAACCAGCAGAAAAAGACCCAGATATGATATGGATGATATGGATGTCAGAGTTAGCAGACAAGACATTAAAATAATTGATCTAAGTAGATTCCATATGATCAAGAAAGGAGAGGAAAGCATGGTGAGGAGAGATATGGAAGATATAAAAATGGTCTAAATCAAACTTCTAGAGATAAAAAAGATAGTTCTGAGAGGGAATATATACTGGATGGTATTAATAGCAGATTAGACATTGCAGAAGAAAAGATTAGTGAACTTGGAGACACAACAATAGAAAAATGAAATAAAGTAAAGCTCAGAAAAGAAAATGTCTAAAAAACCCAAAACAAAATAATACAAAAACCTCAGTGAGTTATGGGACAATTTTGAGTGGCCTAACAGTAAACACTGAAGTCTCTAAAGGAAAGAAAGAAACCCAAAAACACATTTGAAAAATAATTGCTGAAAATGTCCAAGTTTGACAAAAACTACAAATCTACATATTTAAGAAGCTTAACAAACCCCAAGCACAAGAATCACAAAGTAAACCATACTAAGGCACATTCAGAATCAAATGGCTTAAAAACTAGCGATAAAGAGAAAATTTTAAAGGCAGTCAGTAAAAGAAAAATATATGCAGAGGGACAAAGTTAAGAATAACTTCTTGTTGGAAACAATATAAACCAGAAGACAGTGAAGCAACATCCTTAATAAAAAAAAAAAAAAGGTCAATCTAGAATCCTATACCCAGCAACATGATCTTTCAAAAACAAAGATGAGCAAAGACAAACAAAAGCTGAAAGAATTAGACGCTAGTGGACCCGCATTACAAAAAATTGAAATTAAGTACTTCTGTTAGAAGTAAAATGACATCGGGCCGGCCCGTGGCTCACTCGGGAGAGTGCGGTAGATAAATACCTGGATCTACACAAAGGAATGAAGAGCACCAGAAATTATAACTATGTAAGCAAATATAAAAGACCTTTTCCTTATTTTTAAAGATCTCTTTAAAGATAATTAACTTATATTGTTTCCAATAAGAAGTTATTCTTAACTTTGTCCCTCTGAATGTAATGTACTTAAAGCAAAAATAACACTGATGTACTGTGTGGTTTAAAACTAATGCAGAGGTAAAAACCTATGATATAAATACCACAGAGACTAATAAGCCAACAAAGAGAAAATAAATCACACAAAAAAATCAAATTAATCTAATAGAAGAAAAAGAAAAAATGGAACAAATGGAAAATAAACAAGATCATCAATTTAAACCCAACCTTCTTAAATATCATAAAATGGCCTAAAAACCAATTAAAAGGGACATTGACAGATTGGATAAAAAGCAAGACCCAGTTCAATGCTATCTACAAGAAGCCAACTTTAAATGTAAAGTCAAAAGTAGGTTAAAAATAAAAGGTTAGAAAACAATATGCTACGCTAACACAACGAAAACTAAGCATAACTTATATTTCCCATCTACACCTCACTTGCATTATAATGCAACCAAACTCTGACTTTGTTGTGCTTACTGGCTTTTTAAACTGGAATTTAAAAGAGCAACCTTTTAACTACTTAGATAATTCTTTTAAACACTTTCGAATATCCTGAAACAAAAAAGGAAGCCTGTTGTCGTACAAGGCCATGTAATCAACAGTATAAATTCAAGTCACAAATCCCAACATTACTGCAATTAGACTTGAATTTCTGTGATCATTTAGTAATACTGTCTTTTGTTAATATGCTGAATCAATAAATCTTTATCCAGTCTTTACTATGTGCCAGGCACTGTTCTAAACAGTGTAGTAAAATGGTTAAAACAGTCCTAAGTTCAAACACTAGTTCTGACTCTGTGTATCTCTGAGAAAGTCACATTAACCTCACCATTTACTCTCCTGTAAAATAGTGGTTAAGAATAGTCCCTACCTCATAGGGTTGAGTTGTGGTGAAGATGAAGTACGATTACGTACTCAAGTACTTAGAATAGTGCCTGGTACCTGGTACTGTGTTAAGGGTAGCTATTGTGTTATTTCATTCTTATAAGCCATTTGGGAAAATAATGACTCTGCTGATCAGTAGAGTTTACCAGAATAAAAGTATGTCATCTTAGTAATGTGGTAATTTCTAGGAGGGGAAATATTTTATGGTTGGCCTTTTTGAGCTAATAGTAGTGAAAATTCAAACAATGCCCACATTTATATAGCATTACAGTGTGCCAGGTACAGTTCTAAGGGCTTTAGAACAATTCTAAGCCTCTAATTACGGTAACAACATGAATATGGATGCCACCCACTCCATCTACATTTTGGGAAGGTGTGTCATGGTATGGATAGAAGTTTATTGGTTTCCAGATCTAATGCCCTACCTTGAGCATTTTCTCATCAAAAATTGGAGTCATGGCATAAGGCATGATATAATTCTGGAGAGACTTAGAAGACAGCACAACTTTGCCTTCCATCAGCTGTTTTGCAAGTTTCTTCAAGGCTCTTGCTCTTCTGTGGATCTATGAGTTAGATAACATGTGAATTAGTTACTGAATAATCTCACCTACAACCAGCTCCATTTCAGTATCATGTTATTTTTCCATGAAAAGACTAAAGGAGTGAAACACAGTCACGTGTTCCATACGCAAACACCTGTGCCTTTATTTGCTTCCAGACACATAATCCATAGCATTTGTTTAACAATGGATCCCAAAGCATTTAAACTTCTTAGGAGAAGGCAGAAAAAGGTGACTGTTATTAATTGTAGTATGTGATACAGAAATCAGACCCCAGTAAATGATCACCTGACAGGCAAACATGACTAACTATCATGAAGATCAAGGAATGAGAAGCTTTAAACCTTTTGGAAAGTTAAAATATGTCTTTTATTTTTAATTGTTTTGTTTCAATCTCACATCAATAAAAATAACAAATCTAGCAGCTAACATTTATCAAATACTACATGGCAGGCATTGTTTTAGGTGTTTCGCATGGATTGTCTCATTTAATCTTCATAGAACACTTGGAAGTGGTGTTTTTATTAGTCCCTTTTACAGATGAAGAAATTAAGGTTGAGAGGGGTCAAGTAACTTATGAAGGTGACACAGTAGAAGGTGACATTGGTGGAGTCAGGATTTAAAACCCAATTTATTTGCCTAATGAGCTAGTTATTAACCACTCTCCCATACTACCTGCCTAGAAAGATTGCCCTGCCTCCCCAGTAGGTCCCGTCCCTATTATTCCCACTGAAGATATGACAAAGGGTAAAATATGTCTTTCTCAATGAGGCAGAATTGTTCAAAATGCTTATTTTGTAGGCAGGAAAAGCAGAATTGTCTTCTACCTGAATGTGCTTCATGTTCTCAAAGAAGTCCATTTCTGGATCATGGTAATGAGTAAGCTGTACCAAGTCTTTAAATTCCAGTTGATTTGGAAAAGTTTGAATTAAACAGGAAAGTATCGTGGTATAATCCTGTTGAACACTCTGCAAATATCAAGTTGAGGAAAAAAAACACTTCATTTTTCTAAAAAACTTTGTTTCCTTGATAATATGAGGAAACACAAAAAAAGACATAAAATCATTAAAAAAGTACATTTCCCTGTTAAAAAAAAAAATCAAACTATATAAAATCAAAAGTGACTGCTCTCCTTTCCATTCCCACTCCCCTGTTAAAAGTTTTCTAACTATTTACACAATCAAGCATTTTAATTAAATGTACTAAACCTGACTGCTTTTCTACAAATAGCAGAAGTGGGAAAACCAAACCAAACCAAACCTCAGGTACTACTACCTAGTACTTAAAAGACAAAGTTACAGTACCTCTGTCTGGCTTTTCAACCCTTTCCTCAATCTCTCCAGGAGTGAACGATGAATGATTTCTCTATATTCTCTCTCTGTGACGTTCAAGTCAGCTAGCTTTTTAATGATACTCATCAAGCACATGCTGGCATTATCACTTAAAGACATATCTCCTAACTGGAAATAAGAAAAAAAACCCCAAATTATTTCGTGTAATAACTACACTATGTAATATTACTTCCTAGTGAAAGCATCTACAAAATTTTGTCACTGTTCTATGTGAAAATCTCCCCCTCCCCCCAAAAATGTCTTATAAGTATTTCAAACCTAAGGAAGAATCAAATGTAGGGTTATGAAGAATATAATGACTGAAAAATCATGCTTACTGAGAAGCATCAATTTCAGGAAGTACTATGAAATGTATTTGCTAAGTAGTTTTACTTCTCAAAGTAAGCAGAATAAAAGGTTCACTAAAGCCAGTTTTCAATATTCAATATCAGGTAATTACTGAAAATGACAGAGAGTTGGCTGGTGTAATTTTGGTTAGTTGCTCCAGAGTTCCTGGTTTGAGAACTGTAGGTAGTAAGTGTAGAAAAGGTAATCCCAACTAGGCAGTGATTTAGCATTCCTTCTATTGAAATTTGACATAATATATGAAGAATGAGCTCCAAATTGGAAGATTATTTTTTCATATACAGGTTGAATATCCCTAATTTGAAAATCCAAAATCCAATATGCTCCAAAATCCAAAACTTTTTGAGCACTGACATAAAGCTCAAAGGAAATGCTCACTGAAACATTTCAGATTTCAAATTTTCGGATTAGGGTTGTTGAACTTGGTAAGTATAATGCCAATATTCCAAAATCTGAAAAAATCCAAAATATGAAACACTTCTGGTCCCAAGCATTTCGAATAAGGACTACTCAACCTGTGTTACATAATCTTAGTATGAGATGAGTATAAAAATGCCACAAAGAGATGCCACTACACCATTAACAATAATCAAGGGTTTCATCTCCTCCATTTTTGGATTTTAGTTCAGTTCAGCAACATGGCATTTAAATTAGGTCACTGTATTAGGTAGTATTATCAAAACAATAAAAAATGACTCATAAATTTTTGCTATTAAAAACCTACCTCCAGATTATAGAAACAATTATGCATAACTGGGATTAGGTAGTTAACATCCACGGTTTGCATTTCTTTAATATAAGAGATAATGGTCTGGAATGTTGCAAAGCGAACGTCAAAGTTGATATCATCAAGATGTCTTTGATCAAAGGCGTTAAGCTATAAGAAATGTCATTGAAACCATATAAATGAAGGCATATAAATCTTAAATAAACAAAAATGATAATACTTTTGAAGTCAAAGAGAAATCGTTTTTTCTTACCTTGACAATATCAGTAATATATTTTAATCCATTCTCAAAATCAGAAAGAGTCTAAAAGGAAAGAAAAGAGTACATTTGTTACTGAATAAAACCTTAACTTTTCTGCCCTCCTTTCCTCAGCTCCCCGCCCCCGCTCAAATTCATATAAAAAGATCATTCTTGCACAAAGAAAGCTACTAATATGCTTTACATCTCATAGTTATCTTTTAAAGAAAAGGGTGATTTGGAGTAGAAATAAATATTACTAACCTGAAAAACTGTACAAAGCAATTGTCTCGACAACTTGTTCTTAATAACTGAGAAGAGTTTTGCTATAGGCTTGAGGAAGCTTGTAGGATCCACACAATGTTTTAACAAGTTTTGTACTGTCACCAGAATATCGACCTCTGTATCCTTAAGAATATTAAGAGAAATCATATTTTAGTAATTTATAAAACTGATCAACTTGTACTTTACAGCACAGAAAATAATAAATTATGGATAAGTAAAAGTAGTAATTGAAAAATTATTTGTCTTCTTAAAGCTTTCAGCATTTTATTTAACGTAAAACCCACAATAACATGCCTAACAATTTCTTCCTTTAATTCTAACAGAGAATATATATGGTTCTTTTTTTTTTTCCTTTTTGTCTTTTTTACTGACCGGAAACGGGATCACAACCTTCAGTGTCGCGCCCGTACCGGGGACTGGCAACGGGATCGCAACCCTTGGTGCTGCGCCCGCACTGTGCTCAGCCAGTAAGCGGGAACCGATCTCCACATGGGATCCGAACCCTCAGCGGGAGCACCGCCGCGCTCCCAAGCGGCACACTCTCCCGTGCACCACTGTGCCGGCCCGAATATATATGGTTCTGACACCTAATTTCTTGTACTGTCTAGTCAAGAAAGAGCCAACTGTGCACCACTGTGCCAGCCCGAATATATATGGTTCTGACACCTAATTTCTTGTACTGTCTAGTCAAGAAAGAGCCAACAAAATAAGCTTGCTGAAGAAAAATATACACTCTGGTTGTCTACAGATCTGTGGTCAGAGATGTTCAGTATTGCCACTTAGGTTTTGTAAAACAAGCTTGAGCCACTGGAGGACTCTAATTGATTAGGATTGAAGTAGGGTTTGAAAAGCACATCAGAAACTCTTGGCTACATTTTAACATTAAAAATCTGACTTTCATTTAGTTTTACCACTGTGATTCATATTTAAGATTATACGATGCACTTGTTGAGTTCCAGATTTCTTATCAAAATCAGAGAGAGGAAAAAAGACAAATGAATTGGAAGCTAAACAAAGGGGCTAACATACTTATTCTGTTGTGGTAGATGGCGATGTCTCCACCTCCTTGCCTGACCCTATTCCTATTCCTGTCCCAATCTTTTCCCTCTATTTCTAATTTTTTGTTTCTATATAAAGTGTGTTAAGTTCTTTGAGACACATGTATCATAGAATCTAACCAATAAAATAAATCTAGTGGTAAAGTGCCACTTAGAAGTCTAAGTAAATGTTGTCCTGTGAATTTGTACCTGAGCAATATTACCACGGTGGAGAAAAGGAAGGAGAAGTGTAATAAGCACAGAACTTTGTTCTTTGTCTTTCATAAACTTGCTAATCCTAGAGGAGGGAAAAACAGACACGTAAGGAAGATACACAAGTTAAGAGTATTTCTCTAAGAAATTAAACTTCTTGTAGGAAAAACACAGTGACTGCAGACAGTTTTAATATTCCAATACACAGGCAGCTTTTAAGTAGGTGTATACATTTAAGAAGTTTAACTCAGTTATTTCTCTGTGCACCCTCTTACTCCTCATCAGCTCATGGCTACTATTCTGTTTCTTTTGCAGTATGTAATCATGTAGGTAGATTATAGTGAACTCCAGCGCTATAACCTGGCAATTAGTAATTTCTTATTTTGCAAGGAAATAACATTTTTAAGTGACAAGACATAAGGTATTATGTACAGTATTCCAATTTAGCTCCCACAATAGCCCAGCAATGTAGGAATTATTAGCCCCATTTTGCCCAGAAAAAAACTGAGACTCAGTGAAGCTGATGTCACATAGGTAGGAAGAAGTAGAGTAGGTTGTGCAAATTCTGTTCTTTCTAGTGCCTAATCTCCTCTCACCATCTTTGCTTCACCATGGAAGCCTGTGGTGAAATTTAATGACTACATTTAGCATAGTTTTCCATTCTGCATAACTTAGAAATATAGTAGTATAAATAAAACATTGCAAAGAAGTTTCCAGAAGATTTTAATATATTTTTGTTGATATTGTTAAAAGTAACCAAAAATAAATAAATTATCAACAACTAAGCCCTGTAACAGTCAATTTATAATTTAAGATAGAATTTCCTATGCTCCAATTTACCAATCTTGCCCTTTACAGAAATCACAATTATGTACTAGTAGCATTACTGCCAAAAAGACTCTTTAAAAGGCCTTGCAAGATGTTCTTGATTCTTAAAAAATAAAAACAATCTGTTCCTTTAAGCTCATTATTTTCATAAATAAAGCTAAAAAAAACCAACAAAAAATCATGTGATGTCACAAAACTTAAAACTTTAAACAAAATATGCAAAAGCTAAACATGGAAATCTATTAGTCTACTTTGGGATTTTGAAAAATCTGTTCCCTTTAATAGAATTAAATGAAGGTAGATGTCATAAAACTGTTCTAAGCATCCAGCCCAGCTAGCACCAAGCCACTGGATGCCCCTTGGACTCCTGAGCCTGGGTGGGGTGGGGTGTGTGTCAGGGCACCCGAAGGCCTCAGCCACAGCCCTCCCACCTCCACATCCAGCCCAGCAAAGGAGCCAGCCAAGGCCCAGTCCCTCCTCCTTCCTTTCTTCCTCCCACTGCTCCACATCTTAGAATGTAAAAAAAAATAGTAATAAATAAATAAATAAATAAAATTACACAAACTAGTAAAAAAAACCCCACTTTTCTAATGATTATTCCAGGAGAGAAAAAGAATTCTGCATTAACTTAAGAGCAAAGGGCATTTAAAATACTGAAAACTTTTTAGTGTCTTTTTACCACATTCAAACAACTGAAAAACAATACCAAATTAAAAAAAAAATTAAAACCACAGTGCTAATATTATCTTGTGAGTACCAACATGTGACTTACTTTGAAAGAATGCCAAGTTCCTTACTGACTTGTGCCCTGTTCTTTTTCTTTTTCACCTTTTCTGCACTTATTGTGGTTTTGCTGAGATACTGAAGAATTGCAGATACATGAGGTAGAATTAATCTTCCTCCCATTTTGATGGACTCTGAAATAGAGGGTGATTAATGTTTTGATTTTAATAAATTCTCTTAAAGCATAATTGAAAAATATCTCTGTGATGACAGATAAGGAATACATTTAACTACTATAAACATCTAATTAAATTTCAACTCTAAACCTTAAATAACTCTACTCAAAATAGTTTTATCTCTAGCTAAATTAAAAATTTATATGAGAGCCCTGAGGCTTTATTTAAACCATTTTTGTTAATAGCAAGGGAATTGTTGGGATAAAATGGTAGGAAGAATTCAGAGACATGACAGTAGAAATCATTTCATAATTTCCTGGAGGATAGTTGAGATTTCCCAGAAACTAAATAATCTGCATTCCTACAACTGCAAAGAAAATTCAGTTGATATAAATCAGTATTAATTCTTACAGAAAAGAAACTTACAAGCATAAACTATTAAGAGAGTCAAATTCTACTGACTTTTTCTTTTCTGAGCAAACAGTCGCTACTCAGAAGCCTAAGAATTATTTGCATTTTACAGCATACATACCATCTGCATTTTCTGCTATGTCAGTGTATATGCATCCAGTTACTGGCAAGCTCAAAACTGTTTCTGTGGGCTCAAAATCTGGAAGATTAAGAAGGTCATCAACTATATCCATCACAATACTGGCTGTGGCATCAGAGAGATTCTTTGCTGAGAGAATCGCAAAAACATTGGTCAGGATATCACATTCTGGGTGCCCAGGCTTCTGCTTAGCCAGAAAAGGAAAATATCTGCAAGAAAAATCATTGTAATAATCATCTTATTTCTCAATATGTTTAATTCTAAAAACATATTCCGTATGAATTTTCTTTTTCAGTGACTGGCCAGTACAGGGATTAAACCCTGGACATTGGTGTTATCAGCACCATGCTTTAACCAACCGAGCTAACAACCAGCCAGCCCCATATGTATTTTTACACCGAGTTTAACAAATATATATGTATACAGTCAGCCCTCCAAATCTGTGGGTTCCCCATCTGTGTGGGTTCAACCTACTGCAGATGGATAATACTGAAAGAAAAAAGAAAATGGTTGTGTCTGTACTAAACACGTACAGACTTTTTTCTAGTGTCATTATTTCCTAAACAATACAGTATAACAACTATTTACATAGCATTTACATTGTATTAGGTATTATAAGTAACCTAGAGATAATATAGGTTCTTTGCAAATACTACACCATTTTATATCAGGGACTTGAGCATCTGTGGATTTTGGTATCCATGGGGAGTCCTGGAACCAATCCCCCATGAGCTACTAAGTGACAACTGTATATACACATGTGTGTATAGTGAACATTAATAAATTACTCAAAAGGGAAATTACTTTAAAATCTAACATGTGATGGATAATCCTAAGCATTTTACAAACATTGTATTATTTGGACACTGTATGTGTATTTCTCATTTAATCCTCATAACATCTCTATGAGGTAGTATCATCCTCACATTACAGATAAACTGAGACTTATCCAAAGCTAATAAGTGGTAGCACTGAGATATGAACCACAGTCAAACTCTCAAGTCTAAGCCCTTTCTAAAAGAAACTTACTGAGGGCCGGCCTGTGGCTCACTCGGGAGAGTGAGGTGCTGATAACACCAAGGCCACGGGTTCGGATCCCATATAGGGATGGCTGGTTTGCTCACTGGGTGAGCGTGGTGCTGACAACACCAAGTCAAGGGTTAAGATCCCCTTACTGGTCATCTTTTAAAAAAAAATAAAAATAAAAAAATAAAAATAAAAATAAAAGAAACTTACTGAGGACAGGCTATTTTTCAATTCCAACCTTTCTAGAATGTGGATGTTTATAAACTCATAAAAACCTATGTACCAGAACATGGTAATTAGTAGTACAGACCAAATAAACATTTGTTGTATGAGGATATGCAACATTCAGAGATTATGATCATTTACCGGGGGATGGAGATGAATCCATCCCCAGTAATAGAAGACTTACACAGAAGATACAAATGCCCTTCTTAATGGAAATGTACCAAAAAGGGCAGATAGCACAAAGGCTTTCCAGCCAAGGGCAAACTAGCAGTTGTTATACAGTCAGAGACATAATCCTAACAATCAATAGAAAGGTCAAACTGAAAAAAATTCAGATAGTTTGGTTTTATCATTTCATCATCACTGGAAAAAGAGCTCAAGCACTCTAACATACTTCGCACTGACAAACTGATAGAAAAGTTCTAAGAGGTTACATTCATATATCTTCCTGTCCAACAAATATTGGGCACAGCCTGGGCAGATTCTAAGCAAGATACTTTACACATCATCATCTCTCTTATTAATGAGGTAGGCCTGTTATTATTCCCATTTTACAGGTGGTGAAACTGAGGCTCAGAGAGGCCAACTTTGCCAAAAGAACATACGGTAGTGCTAGGATTTGAAACTAGATTTGTGTGGCTTCAGACTGTACTCTTAACCAATAGGCTGTATGTCGTCTACGTTTTTTTCTGTTAGAAAAGGTGAGAAAGCTGCTTTCAACCTCTGGCTTAGTCCTAGCAATAACCAAGCCAAATCCAATCTAACCCCCAAGTGACCAAACTGTTTCTCTTGAACAACAGTGTAACTTGATGCCACAGTACAACGGGCATGCTCCATGCTTAAGAGCATAGCTCAATTAGAAATTTCAAACACTCATTCAACAGGCAATGAATATCAACTAATAAGCATGGACAGAGAGGTATAACCCTCTGTGGAAGAAGATACAATGAATAATGAATGAGAAATGATCTCTGCTCTCGAGAAGCTTTAGGCAGATAAGTTATGAAGACAGATGAGTACATTAAGGCGGTATGTGATGGCAGGGCCTCACCCGAGTAGAAAGCACTCAGAGGAGGAAGAGACTCAGCCTTGCTGGGGTCATGGTGGTTAGAACCAGAGCAGCTAAGAGAGTGGCCAGGGACAGTCCCAGCTTATGTTGGTTGTTTTGGCTTATTTATAACATCTCTTTTCATCCTCAGGAATGTTTCAGTTTGAACAATAAATTATATGATCACCCTACCTGGTAAGCAAGTTTTTGTTGTCTTGAGTTCACCTAATTTCTGAGACAATCTAACCTTACAAGTAAGCTCGAAGATATTGGCTACAGTTCACCTCTACCTGCATTTATGCAAATACAAAATAAAATGCTAAACTTCTCTATAGATGAAAAATCTTTAATATCTGATTGACACTTTGTAAACTGTAACTATACTTCAAAATCAAAATTTATCTTTTATTGAAGAGTAACATTCCCAATGAAGTGGTTCTCAAATATTCATTAATTCTTCCACACACAGCTACATATGCATATCTATTGCTATGGAGATTCTAAGGGAAGCCAACCCTTCTAGAGATTTCTTTCAGGTGAGTGCTAAATATAAAAGAAAAAAAAAGGTTCTGCTGCCTACCTCCTCTATTGCTATGTGGCTTCTATTTCCCCAACCAAAAAAAAGAGAAATTGCAGATGAGAATGAAGTGACATCCAACAATGTGGCTCTATACCTTGAATAGTACCCAACTAATATAAAACTCAAGTCTCTTTCATGAAGTCTTCCTAGATGAAAGACTTTCATGGCTTATTTGCATAAAAATTACACAGCTAAAAAACTTTTCTCAAGTATGCATATGAAGTGCTTCTCATAAATGTTCATTGATAAAGATATGAAGTAGCTCTGTCAAATTGGGAAACAAATGAAAAGAGCTCTTCCTACTAGTAAAATAAACATGCTTTCCTGAGGAAGACAATGCCAGGTTTTGGGTTTGTTTTTGAAGACCATTTAATGACATCACCAATGCTAGGATTTTAGCATTACTGAATCAATAACAAAACTTTTTTTGATAATGAGAGCTCTATGTATACTCAGACGGAGTTTTACAAAGAACAGAAGACAGTGGTTTAGAAAATCTACAGAGCCTATGAAATTTTTCTGATTTTAAGTGGGAACCAGAAAAAAACACAGAATGCTAATTACAAATTAGCTTTTATTTTTAAGCAGGCAAGCAGAGAATGGTAATATTTATGTGATAATATAACTATCTGGTGTGTTTCATATTCTGTTTCTCCCTTTGCCAGGCCAAATCAAACTGCTGACATGATTATTACACATTGGAAGAAGATCCCTATCAATTCTAATACTTCTATTCTTCAAGTTTTAATTAAACTGTTAAAATTGCAAAAATGTATTAGTTTTGATGCAATACAAGGGTACTTCAAAAAGTTCATGGAAAACATAGACTTAAAAGGTAACACGAATCTTTCCACGGACTTTTTGAAGGCCCCAGTATATACTCTCCAATTTTAATTTACATTAAATTATGTTACTTCACCTATCTTTCCTTTTTTATTATTATAAATAATTCAAACACTCCAAACAATGTATCATGAAAAGTCTCCTTTCCATACTACAGTTCACCCAAACCTCCACATGATATGGTAACATTGTTAACAGTGTCTCATGTATCCTTCTAGATAAATTCTATTTCCCTTCATATTTATACACACAGGCACACACCTAAAATTATTTTTCCTGGATCACACTAAACAACTACTATTTTCTTTAAACTATATATTTTGAGATCTTTCCATACTTTTACTCAGTTGCCTTATTCTCTTTTACTGCACCTAAAGTAGTTTACTGTATGAGAAGACCATAAACTCTATTATTAGTTACCTAGACTAGTTTTGACTAGATTAGTCTAAAAATTTCACTTTTTAAAGGGGAGGAAGAAAAGATTATACCTTGCATTTCTGCTCCAGGTACTAATTAGTTTCAGCAGAGGAGTAGGAGAATACTGACTCTCAGATCCAAGCCTGTTGATCTAGGAGACAAAATAAAAACAAAATACCAAACTAACAAATGGAACAAGCACAAAAACCACAGCAGAGGATTAAAAAGCCAAGGGACAGAAGTTAACATTTAAAGGACGGATTGAGGAAAAAAATAAAGGGACCCAAAGTAACAACTACACAGGAGAAAATGGCGCAGGTGGTGCAAGGAAGTGCTATACACTTGAAAGGAACCAAGTATTTTAAGTTTCAAAGGGTTCAAAAGCAGCTGGAAATCTTTCCTAAAATCAAGTCTCTCCTATAGTCTTCTTAGCATAACTACACCAGTTACCATCACCCATGGTTACAACCAGAGAAATCAAACAAGGAAATACATAAGAACAAAAACACTTGCGGATTTTCCCTCATTCATGTTGAAAGCCAGAGGCAATGTTAGGTGAGGTGCTATGAAGTTATGTTACATTGCTTAAGAGATAATCATATTCAAATTGGCATTAAGTATAAGCGCCACAGTACTGCAGAAACTACCTTTTGAGCTTTAGGTGGCAGTGGAGGCAAAAATAAAAAGTGTTATTAAAAAACTTCCAGAAATAAAGAAAGACTTGATGTAAAAGAAAAGACCAGGACAAGCATTCAGGTCTACGTGGTAGACTATGCTGGTGAATTAATAATAAAGGAAGAAGCAGGAAGTGTCCAGGAAGAACATAAAAATCAAGGTTTACCTGGGGCCAAACTGCACCATGAAACACAGCATCAATTTCTTCTGTTCTGAACTGATAGGATTCCCAATCCAAAAAGATATCAGTTACCATTTTGATTCCAAGACGTCTTAAATTTTTCAGTGGGTTAATAAACCTCAGCTGTATCTGCAAAACAAAGACCTACTTTTTTAAAAAATCTATCTACCTCCCTACCTACCTGTTTATCTACTTGTCATTTTTATCTCTGACTCCTCAGAGAGGCACTCTTGCTCAGATGGCTAAGCATCAAACAGAAAATCCTGTTATTAAATCTGCTGACTTTGATTCACATGGGAACATCAACAGAGCAAGTCATATTAACTCTTCTCATTGAACAGGAAGAGAAAGCAGAGGCTTAAAAAAATCAAATGGTGGGATGTACTCCACTGTGACTGCCAGTAAAATCACACTAGTTGTCTTTAGCTAAAAATGCAATCACAACTGGAATGCTGTTTTGTATTGTACATTGTTTCTCTTTTTAATTCAAGTAATTGTCTCAAATAAAATCTTGATTTCTTCCCATGAGCAGAACACATCCTAAACAAAACTTTTTTTTTGCTATCACAATACCTTAGATTAAAAAAAAAGTTAAACTTCCATTTCAAATGAGTTGTTTTTCTTTTTGTTTTCATACTTGTATTGTTATTATTCTACCTTTTTCAAACTAGGAGTTTTAAATTATTCTTGTTAAAATGAGTCTAGAGGACTAGTTAAAGAATTTATGGTCTTTCCATACAGTGGAATACTTCATGCAGAAAGAGAATGAGGTGACTAAATCAAGGCATGGGAAGATCCTAACATATATAGTTCAAAGGAAAACGCAATTTGGAAAAAAAAAAAAAAAAAAGATTTGTCTGTTTAGAGACATAGAGGCTGAAATGGGTCTGAATTAACAGCAAACTTTCTTTAGAACAGATATTGCTACTTCAACTGGCATCTCCTTCCCTGTGAATTATAAAATCACAAATATGCAGCCAATTTGTTCAGGCTCCGAGGAGAATAATTCATTGAGTACCCACCAACCAATTGGTCCAATGGCATGCCAGCCACAGCCCTGACCTCAACTTAAAATCTTACTGAAGGCGAATTTATTGAATTTACACGAGACTATAAATACTAAACACATTTGATAGGGGAGGAATTACTATAAATTTGTGAAGGATAAAGCATCAAGAAAGAGGCAGAATTTCCACTGGATATTAAATAAAGAAGAGGTTCAGGCCAGGCAGAGGAGAGACAAAGGCCTCAGAGACATTCTCCCAAGCACAGAATGTTGTTAAGACCAAACAACAGGAGAAGATCCAACCCCTAATTGTTTTCCCACTTGATTATTATATGGTAGGCTCTAGACATATAAGTAGCAGCTTATTTTTACATATAACCTTAATTACCTACATCAAAATCTAAAAACTACCCTAAAATTTATGAAGACAACACAAATGCTCTCAGAGTAAATATCAAGTCTTTTGGCCAAGATAACATGGAGAAAACTAAAAGGGAAGTAACTCATCCTGAAAATCTGATCTGATCAACAGAGGTATTTGCATCTGAAACAGCACAATTTAACTTCAAGTGACTATGAACAAGGATGCAATTAATTTGCTGTGCAAGCCTGAGGAACATGATAACTCACACAATCGTCTTTTACTTTTAGCCAATTATCTCAGTATACAAGTTACAAAGTCAGAGGAAATGACAGGCGAGCACAAGGTGACACATTTACAAGTCATTCTGTTCTGCTTCAATTCTACTGGCAGTATTTTCATTATCAGCTATATTGTGTTTGGTGAAAGATAAGAACTATCACTGATATCTGAAAAAACATGGTATGATAATCTGGAGCAAATAAGATACTGAACATTAGCAAACATGGTATCACATAAGACACTCCCACCCTTCTCCCATTCTCACCACCCCCCTTTCCCACTGGGTAGGACCTGCATGTTCTATTCATTTCTGTAACTACAGTGCCAGCTTCCCAATTTACTCAATAATTGCTGAATAAACTGAAGAAAAACTCTGAAAATGAGCAATTGTACATTTTAATTTCTAGAGGAATAGTCAATATGACTGAGTTTATGTACATTTACAAGTTACTCCATTGCTTAAATGTACAACAAAACCAGAAAAAAAAAATGAACAAACAAGAACAACCTTCACAATACCTCTTTCAGTGTCAGTAAATGCCCCGAAGGACATGAAAGACACAAAAAAGTAAATGTATAACTGAGCTTACACACAAAAATGTAGAACTTAAGTAAAATTACTAAAACAAAATTACTGTGCAATAATTCATTCTGGCACTTTAAGGAATTCTTGGGACTTGTCCAAGGATTAATAAGAAAGCTCCTGTCAACAAGCTTAACACCTCACTAACTAATGAACTGTGAAATCGCATAAATGATCCTTTGAGTTACTAATGATTGACTTGGGAGTAAGGCTGCATTACTGAGTAACTTCTTCTAAGTTAACTAAAAATTCAAAGCATTTATAAAAGCATTATAAAATCTCTAACCTTTCATGATTTAATAAATCCATATAATCATTATCACTTGCTCTAAGGCATAAACTCAAATCTCACATAATTCTTCCTATGGCCCTTTTAAGCTCTAACATAACAGAATTTTCGAAGACCTCTTTTTCACTTCTACTCTTGGACTCCCGCAGCCTCTTTTCTATAAAGCAACCAAAGTGATATATTTTTTAGAACACCAAACAGTCCTTATCACTCCCTGAATCAAGCCTCTCAGCAGCTTCCCATTACACTTTGAAGCAAACCCAGTTCCTTGTCCTAGCCTACAAGGTCCTACATAACCCACCCTACTCTCCTCCTGACCCTCATCTTTCACAACTCCTACTGGGCTCTGCTACCTCCACCTTGTCTATTCTATGCCAAGACTATTCCAGCCTCAGGGACTTTGCACTGGTCGTTTCTTTGCCTGAAATATTCCTCCCACTGCTGGGCAGGTGGGTGTAAGCTCAAATACCACCTCCTCACAGAGGACCCTGACCACCCTAGTAAAAGCAGACCCAGCCACCCTGATCACTTTCTATCATATCCCTCATTTTATGTTAAATTTTTTATATCTTGCATGTCTTCCTTAAAATGCTCATGCTTTCCTCTACTTTCTTGAATATATGGAGTATATTTTAAATAGCTATTGCTTGTCTAATTCTATTATCTGTGTCATTTCTGGGTCTGCTTCTACTAATTGGTTTTTCTCCTCATTATGGGTAAAATTTTCCTCCTTCTTTGCATGCTTGGTAGTGTTTGATCAGATGTCAGACATTGTCAATTTTATTTTAATTTAAATCACCCATAAGTTTTTCGGGCTTTGTTCTGGACTGCAGTTAATTTACCTAAAAGAAGTTTGACCTTTTTAAGTTTTGTTAGGTGGGTCCAGAGCAGCCTTTATTTTAGGGCTAATTTGGCTCCATGACTGAGACAATCCCCTTGCAAAGACTCTTCTTGATGCCCCATGTATTATGAGCTTTCTACTCTGGCTGTTGGGAATGTAAACTGTTCCCAGCCCTTTGTTAGACTCAGAACTGTTTTACCTTCTCCTTTCTGGTGGTTTTTCTGCTTCCAGCCAAGAAGGAGTAAGAGAGACTGGATTTACCCTCCCCTTTTAAGCAACCACAAAACTGAGCAACGTATATTAAATAAGCATTTCCAGACTTTGGACATGAGGCAGCAGAGCACAGCAATCTCTGAGAGAATAAAAACAAAACAAGCCATACAATTTCCCCAGCTTGCTGCATGGAGAGTTTTCAGGCCTTAGTGCAGGGAGGAAAGAGCCCAGGCAGAGTCCAGCGATCCTGAGATGAGGAGATAGTTGGGCAGCTTGGGGAGGCCAAGGCAGCTAGAATTCACAGGGCGGAGTACTGGAGAGGACAGAACTACTGGAGAAGAGTGTATAAGTTTCAGAGATCTGCAGAAGGGTCTACTCATTTTATTTTCCTCTCAGAATTTACCATCTCACATTATTCTAATTATTTGTGTATTTACTTGTTATTTATTTCCCCGTGATACTAAGTCCTTACATGTCTCATTTCCTACCTAGAACAATGTCTGGCATATAGTAGGTACTTAGTAAAGTATTGACTGAATAAATAGATGGACAGAAATTTTTGTTTGCTTGGATCGCTCTCTATTCCCAGTGCTTAGAAGAGTGCTTGACACATAGTAGGGGTTCAATTAATATTTGTTGAAGGAATAAATGAAAGAATGAGAAAAACAAGATGGTACCTACCAAAATGGAAGGTATGTTCTAAATCTGTGGATCTTGGTAATCAGAGAATATTATTTCATTATTAAAGCAGGTTTATATCCATATGCATAGCCCAAAAAGGTGGCCTAAAATTTTGGCTGTTAATTTTCACTTATCATGACCATGTTTGAGAGGCCATTCACCAGGCATATCAATAAATCAAATGAAATGAATGTTGCCAAATTAAAACTGTGCCTATTTGTCATTAACTGAGAGTCCACAGCAGAAATGTGAATCTGAACCTTTACTTAAAGTCCCATTTTCTCCAAGAAGCCCACAGTCCATAAACACATTATGGACTATTTCCCTAAACTCTCATGTCTACATACCTGTTTCAACAAAACATACACATATCATTTTGAAAACAATTCAGAAAATATTTACTGAGCACCTCTTGGCATCTGGCCATCTGGCTTGTCTTGCCTGATCTTGATGTTTATTTTATTTAAAACTTTGTACTTAGGTAAGCATTTACTTTTAAAGAATTGCAGGTAACTCTCAAAATAATACGATGATGGTAGCAGTGCTCTACTCATTTCCCAGCCATTCTAGAGAAATGAGAGTTGGAAGGTATCATATATCTCTAGGCTCCTGGAATTAAAATCTAAGAGACATCAGTTCAAGCACCCAATTTGGGTTTCTGAGAAGTACAACTAATTAATGTACTTTTTACAATTCCAGCTTCTTTTAAAATAAACATTTGATACAATTTGCATTTTCTAGTCATAAATAAATATTCATAACAATGAAGATTCCCATCAAATGGAAGATAATTTTAAAGAGACACTTTCAAATGGTTACATAAGGATTTAACCTGGAAGGATGTTAGTAATTCAGGCCCGAACACAATTCCCAAGTAAAATACAGACTCATATTCATCTACAGTGAATCACTCACCTTTTCTCGTTGGTCAAGTATGTGTGACACGGTTGCTGTCATACAGACCAATATCTGCAAGATCTTTGGTAAGTATGCACTGATCAGATGACTAATGTTCTTCAATACTATTTCAAGGCTATTTAAGATACCATGCTGACGGCCCAAAGGAAGAACTTTAGACAAATCCAAATCTTTTACTGCTTCAATGACTGCAGAATGGCACTCTCCTAGTGAACAAATAGGAAGAGATTTCATGCAAAGTGAAACATTAGTTTGTTACTACTTATAATTACAGCTTTCTTTCAATTTCCCTCAATAATACAGTATTTTCTATTTTTACAATAGAAATCAAAATCCTTTTGATTCTTACCAAATATTCAATGAGCTAGGTAAGGCAGGTTTTACTACTGCTACTTTATAGATGAGGAAACTGAAGAATAAAGGAGAGCAAGAAACCTGTGACAGAACAAAGTCCCTAAACCCAATTCTTAAGACACAATTCCTGAAAGCCCGAGTTACTAAAAGACTTTTATTCCACTAGCAAGTTTCCATACATCTTTCTTATTCTCGGCTTTCCCTGAGCTACACTGTGTTCAGCAGATTCACAGAAAATGCCTTGCTGCATTAGAAACTCCTTGTAGGTTGAGAATTGCATGTTCTATTTCTCTTATAGCCCCTGATTAATAGAAAGATTAGTCCCTTGTGAACAGCTGCCACCATATTGATTTCAGAATTTACTTAAAAGATTTGAATCGTTATTGCTTGAGCAATAACTAACTTCAAACCATCTGACATGAGATCATGAGCTAACTGATTCGTACACCTAAACAGTCCATCCATAAGAATATCATTTGTATCCACGCTCCTGCAAAAGGAGCTATACGCTGAATGAAAACTTTTATGTATAGCTGAAGGTGGTATTACCATGGAAAAAATACAAAAGAAATGCAACATACTACCCTATAAGTAAATATCTATGTTTGGCTAAAGCAAAGCAATTGTGGGACTGGAGCAGAAAGGTCTAGGTTCGCATCCCAACTCTACCATTTTCCAGTTGAATGGCCATGGGCAAAATATTTACCTTTCTAAGTCTCAGTTTCTTCATTTGTAAAATGGGGACAAACAAATAATGATAGTTCATGTGGCTGTTTTAAGAATCAACTGAGATATCTGTAAAGCGGCCTGTGTCTGGTATAAACTAAGCACTCAATAAAGGTTAACCATTATTATTACTAATAATCACTAACACTGCATACCAGAGAACATTCCACAGGGCTTTTAGCTCATTATATACACTAGTGCATCTACTTTGTCCTGACTGCGAGGTTGAGGACAGACATTGTAAATACTCATTTTTCTATTTTCTACCTAGCAGAGTATCTGGAGCACGGGAGGTATTCAACAAATCATTACTCAATAGATGAATTACTCAGTGAACAAACATATGCCAAGACAATTAAGATTAAATTTGTAACATGCTTTGAATTTCTTAGAAGAAACCTATTCTTCATATATGGATAAATATTTCCTATTTTTCAACTGGCCTAAATGTATAACAAAAAAATGCACATTTCCTAATCGGGGGCTTACTATCACAAGGATGCTGACCCAGGGTCAATTGTGAGCTTCACGTAATTGAATCAAAGTTTAAATGAACTGCACTTTAGCAAAAAGACCACCATCAAGGTTGGGAGCCCTAATCAAGGGCTTACTATCACAAGGATGCTGACCCAGGGTCAATTGTGAGCTTCACCTAATTGAATCAAAGTTTAAATGAACTGCACTTTAGCAAAAAGACCACCATCAAGGTTGGGAGGAACAACTCTGTTAGAAAGATGCCGAGGAGCATGAGAAACCTAGCTTGAGATGTTGGAAGTCTACCCCAGAAAACAGGTATTTGGAGTGGGAAGCAGTTGGTAGCTACCCTTCTGGAAGTGCTTCACAGGTTCAAACAGCAGGTCTAAGAATATCTGGATCTCCTCAGGCTGGGTCCCAGCAAGGAACCGCAGAACAATGGCCGTGCGGGTGCCTGAAGCAGATTTCCCCTGAGTTTTACTCCCTGTCTTATTCTTCATTCGCCCATACAAAATTCTGAAAAAGTAAAAAAAAAAAAAAAAGATAACAAAGAGATCAGTGATTTCCTGGGTGTTGAAGGTTGGAGGAGGGTTTATGTGTTTGCACATTAATTCTAAAACATAACACTAATGATTTTGTTTTCTGCAAAGGCTAGAAGAGCAACTCAACAGATTTAAAAGGATATATTATAAAATAAGAAAAAATAAAAACAGAAATTAGATGTTTGACACAGACTCTTAGAAAAACAATAAAACAAGGTTAAGGGAAGCAGAAAGAAGAAAATAATAGACAAAGGCCAGAAGGTGGTTCTTCGTGAGAGAAAAAGAGCAATAAAATAAGCAAGTCAAAGGTAAATCTAGGGCCGGCCCGGTGGTGCAATGCTACAGTACGCCGCTTGGGAGTGTGGCGGCGCTCCCGCTGAGGGGTCGGATCCCACATACAGACCAGTTCCCGCTCACTGGCTGAGTGAGGTGCGGGCGCAATGCCGAGGGTTGCGATCCCGTTGCCGGCCCCGGTCTGGTACAGGCGCGACACTGAGGGTTGCGATCCGTTGCCGGACACGAAAAAAGAC